GCCGGCTGAAAGGTGCGATAGGATATGTTTACTAGGCAACTTCTAATTTTAACATATATTTTAAATTTAATTAGGGTTAGGGTTAGGGCACTTTTTAGGGTTTTTGCATCATTCCTTAATATATCGTAAAATATATGTTAAAATTAGAAGTGCCTAGTAAACATATCCTATCGCACCTTTCAGCCGGCTGCTGATAGAGATTTCGAAACAGAAATGTGCTTTTATCAGTCCTGTACAGAATAGTTTCTTAACAGAAAGTCGCGCAGATAAAGACAGAATCTAATAACACCTATAATAAGGTATTATTCGCTCTTGATGGAATGTCTGCGAGCGTTCGTTGTCGTACTCGTAAAAAAACGCGTTCGTTGTCGCCGTTGAAAAAAGTAACTCGTAAAGTGAATCTCGATTCGATATGAGAATTTGTGTAAGTGTTATTACGTTAGCATGTTAAGGGTAAAACCGCGTATTTCGGTTTGTTTATTTTACTTTGAATTTTGATGTTACTCATTTGCGAATATCCCCTCTCCCCAAGAACCCGATGTGTCGTTAAGGCTGCGACCTTGTAACACTAACTTTTTCCCTAACCCTATCCCTAACCCTAACCATGACCCTAACCCTAACCCTAACCATGACGACCCTATCCCTAACCCTAACACTAATCCTAACCATGACCCTAACCCTAATCTTAACCCAAACCGGAACCCTAACCCTAACCCTAACCCGTAATACAAACCGAGTATAAACCAAGTATAAATTTGATATTCGATCGAAATTTACTACGAGATAACACCAAAAAAATTAAGGGCCTGCCAAAGCTAGCAGCGGCTAGTACACAGCGGATAGTGTGATCAACGCACCAGCAAACTTGTTACATGCTGACACGGCGGCGGCGTCGTTGACGATGGTTGACAACACCACGTGTTGCTTGGCAAGCTGAAGAGACTGCAGCGACACTGTCTTCGCTCCTAGCGTCTTGGCGATACTGTCGGTACAAAGGTTGTTAACTTTTGCTCGGGATCTCAAGACATTCTTTTAATAAACAGTCTTCTACATTCTCAAAAACTGACTCGAACATTATTACTGTCAGTACAGTGCTGCGCGGGTTCTCAAAATATTCCCCAACAATAATTCTTCTACATTCTCAAAATCGTACTCAAACATTATTGCTCCACGTCTCGTCTAGTCGGGCTAAGGTGCTGGGGTATTTTGGGGCCTTGGCGGCCCTATAGGGAGTTTTGGGGCCTCAGGCGAACTTTGCCTTGTGAGCTTCCTACCTCCCCCCAGTTACCTTTCGGGAGCGAGCGTCTAAGGCGGTAGGCGCGAGCGTGGAAGAAGGGAAACAACTGTAGAGCATCCCCTAGCCCTCGCCCTGAACCTGTGACCTCACTCATGACAACGAACCCGCACACGCACGTACGCGCGCGCGCGCGCGCGCTCGTACACACACACACGCACGCACGCACGCACACGCACGCACACGCACGCACGCACACACACGCGCAAACACACACACACACACACACACGCACGCACACACGCACACGCACGCACACGCACGCACGCAC